TGTTTGTTGGCTGTGACGAAGCTCTTAATATAAAGTCACTGTGAACCAAATATTTGACCGATAAAGAGTGATCTTCTTCCGCAAAAAAAGGATCCTTTCATGGTGATTCGAACCTTATAGAGTTGATCATGATTGTCAAAAATGTTTCTCGGCAATCTTCAGTTTTTGAGACCCAAATTCATCGTGGAATCCTCCGAAACACCAACAACTGACGCCGTGATTCATATTTCTCAGATGCTGTTCAAACCCCTCGTCAGTCGATCTTTCCATGTTGCCAGCCATGTACATGCTCGGACTGCAGAGTCAAGTCAATAACGGTAAGTTGAGCCATCTCTTCTCTGTGGGTTTCAGTTTGAGAATTCTCTCATTCTGCTCTCCCCGGCGAGAGAGGCAGTTCGAAAATTGCAGCAGAAAGCCCCTTTGCACTCTATGACCCGTCAATCCAAGTCTCATCAATTCAAGTACTGTCCACCTCGCTTGATATCATTTCGCTCGAGACTGCGGGATGGTCTCGCGACAACACCTGTTCAGGCTGGGTAGGGCGGCTCCACGTCCATTGCCTCCTTGACGGTCAGCTGCACAAGAGACACGTATCTGCCCCGTATCAGTTAGGGTTCCTCACCAGACTCTCCTTGCTCCTCGACGTAGACTCCGTGGCCGGCTCTGGCAGACCAGCCCCCCACCCACCATCATAAAACATGCGGGCCCGGTTTGTGTCTCCGACTCCCGCCTCGAAATCCCGTGTCTCTCCGATGCGCAGCCGGCATTTGTTTTGCATTAGCGGACCAAGTGGTGCCCGCCCTCTTCGTGGAAAATAGCCAGTCCCTCGTAGTCAACGGCTTCTGGAACAGTATCAGCGAGCATATCCTCGTAGGAAGACGTCAGAAACAGGGAGAGAAAGTCTCGCACCTCCATTATCTGTCAGGATTTCAGCATTGGTGCACGCTGATAGCGTAAATTTAAAGAGCGGGCTTCCCCAATCTCCCTTCATCGCGTCTTCTTCCATCAGAAGTACTCTTGCACTTTGACGCACAGATGAACAAGCGTAGTAGAGCCTGGAGACGTGAACAATGTCTGGGAAAGTCGGGACAACTAAGTCGAACCAGACGCCATTCTCCCTCGCCTCTCCAACCCCACACATCGAATCGGAGGTCCCTAACCTTGTTTTCGGATGGTCGATATCGTATCATGTGCCGTACCATGACGACTGCAGAAGGTAGAGAAGGAAGAGGAGGAATGAGGCTGTGCCTGTCGCAGGATGTTCCGGTCTTGAGGTGGTGGTCCCGGGTAGGACGAACGTCGACTTCCGGGGAGCAGGGATGTTGAAAAAGCCGCGGCTGAGAGTCTGACGTGTGACTATGGTGAAGGCAATCTACAGTGTTAGACAGCTCGCGGGCGACAGGAAATGACAGCAGACTTACGTCAAAAGATACGTCGCTAGATCGGCGCTTCCGAGGGTTAGGACGGCGGGACGGCTCCTTGACACCCACGTCCTGATCGAATGCAGCATCGACTGTGGCTGGGGTTCAGCATTTCGGATCTGCAGATTCGGTCGAATTTGTGCAAGACACAGAGATATTGTGTCTGAAGAATGATTCGACGTGCGAATTCCCTGGAGAAATCTTAAAATCCGGAAGATCTTCCCGTTCGTGACTTGTCTGGAGAGAACCTCCGGAGACAAGGGAACTTCATATTGTCTGTGTCAGAAACCATGGCAAACGGCTAGCGGGGAAGCTGGGAGGTACATACTCACCTCATTGAAGTAACCTTTAATTCTTGGTACCCATTCCAGGCGGCAGCGATGTTGAAGTTGCCTGAGGATGGCGATTTGCGCTCTTCTTTGTCTCGACGTGTGACGAGGCTTTTTTGAGACTAGCGCACGGAACGGCAGAGTGCAGGCCTTCATAGGCAAGTATTGCGGTCTTGTCTTCCACGAACCAGCCAGATAGCCGAATGGTTGTAGACTTTGAAGCGTAAGGACCTGACGTGATGCCCTCCGGACGGTCACTGATCTTGGGGCTCCTGTTCGAGTCTGGCTGGTTCCTTTTTTTTTGGTCTTCTTTCATTTTATTATGCAGCCACCTTTTTCTTGCTTTGGTATCACGTCCTGTGTCTCACTCCTCATTGTTGCAATTGCGTTTTTCGGAATATGTATTGTCTGTCGGTCATCATGACAATCTCTACGAGACTTCCATCCAGCCCGACTTTGAGGAGGAGACAAGTCATTATTCCAGAATCGTTCCCACGTGATCCTTGACCCCGAGGGCCTCCAGAAGAAAAGAGGCGTCGGGGAAAGACAAGTATATTTAATTGCGCCCAGTTTTCTTTGTCAAGCCCAGACAGAAGCCCTCAAGGCAAGTTTATCATGTCTGGAACATCTCTTGGTTGCACCCATACCTGAATTGAGAGGAAGCTGCACCAGAGAAAATGCGTGTGGTCCTGCCGTCCAAGGCTAAGGACACGATGACATGGTCGCCTGGGCAACTTCAGAGCCAGGTAGATGCCTCAGGTACTCCTTAGGTAAGCAGGCCGAATTCAACCCCATCATGGAACAAAGATGATGCTCCGTCAACCTTCTACAACAGGTTGCGCCTTTGGGCAGCATGTAGCACAAGAAAATCTCAGTATCAGATCCATCCGATCGAGCAACGCTCCAACTGACACCATTTCCGATTTAGCTGTCTCCCGGCTTCGTGTGGACGAACGACGAAGCTTGAACCCAACAGGACAATCAAATCACCATTGCATGACCCCAGACCGTCTCTCCCAATGTCTCTTTTCACGCTAATATTGATTTTCCCAGGTCCAGAGGAGCAAGTGAGGTGGAAATCGCCTACCCACAATCTCATCTCTCTAGTTGTCGCCAAATTCCAGGACCCACGACACAGCGTCATCCCTCGTCCACGAGATCTTCGAGTCGCTCGAAGCCGCATCCCTCCAATTGCTTCTATCTAAAAGCAGGCGCCACATCTTCCACGCTTTCATCCAACTCATCATTCGACTTTCACTGCACTTCGGATTGTCGGTCAATCGAAGAGACCGCCGTCATCGTCGCTACCCCTTCAACGAGAGCATCGCCAGCCACACAGGCACGCCGATCATCTACTCCAAACACTGAGTCACCGACACTCGAGCTGCGCGGGGGAGTCATGCACCGCGCCATCACGTGCCCATTATGCCGCGGGTCAAGAAGTTTCGAACGCCCTGGCGGACTGAGCACATCAAGCTATGAACACGGCGACATGTTTCCTCTGCTGAAGCGAGCTCAAGGACCACGAGAATGCGATTTCCACCTGTTCCAATGTGTGGACTGGCGCGGCTGGTTCTAAAACGCCTCCTTGCACTTCCTCTCACGACAACGCTGTTCAGAGGGTCCATCTTCGAGGGCGCGTCATGTTCCGTCCTCAAGACTGGACTACTTTCAGCAAGACGTCTCTTCCATCTTAAGTGCCGCGAGTCTCTATATTGCGATACAGATTGCCTTCTAACCTGTCTCTAGACAATGAGAGACCTGGATGTTTGCTTCCCCCGATGTGAGCATCGAATCCAAAGAAGAACGAAGGACATGGCCACCATCTTGTGTACTTGCCCACAACCGCGTCTTGCCAAGGCATCACGAGATCAATGAAGCCCAATAGCTAGGATCACGCGCCAAGATACCATGCTATCACCGAGGGACTTCGACGGTCTTGTCTTCGACTGCTTGGCCTCCAAAAACTACACATTCACTCCAAAGTATCAGCCGAAGTCGGCAGGACGATTCACACCTGCATCGTTCTCTTCACCGCTTGCGAGTCCGATATCCGCCCCTCTCATTATGCATCAACATTCAGAAGCACTACGTTCGAGGGGATGGAATCATGACCTGACTTCAAAGTCCGTCTGTGTTCAGAGGTGTTCCACGTCACGCAATGAAACAGAACAAGAATACATGTTCGACTGTCCGAGGAGCGCCGCTATCCGCGGCCAACCGTACTCGTTGATGTTGTCTGGTCAATCAGGTTCCCTCCGACAGAATCAGCCAGACAGGTGCGGATTGTTCTTACCTTTTGGCTTGAGGTGTTCCGAGTGATCATGGATAGTTTGGTTCGGAGAGCTGTGTGAGTCTCAGGCACCCCCAGTGTTGGCCACTGAGTGAATGACAGGGGGAAGGAAGAGGTCTGGGAAGCTCGTGGTGATCGAACTGAGGCATAGGAGGGGGAAGAAGAGAACGTACAGCGGTTTCCATTTCAGCTTCATCTGACCTCTAGGCACCATTCACCCCGATCGACATGACAAGGTGACGAAAGCTCAGTCACAGTGATGCCACAACGTTACCTCGACCTCTCAAAGCTTGCATCAGCATATTTCTCTACCTCGAACACCGCTGGTTCTCGGAGGACTCCAAGCAGCGACAGTTACTGTCTAGATTGAGAACAAGGTCTTTGTGCATGACTCGGTCAACCACGGAGATGCGCTGCAGGTTCGCGGCGTTCTTTGTGCGTTCCGTGGCTTGCGTGAGCCTTTCATCGTTCCCGTCTCCGTTAATAGTGGAGGGTTTCCGCGTAATGATAGCAGATTAGTCGAAAACAATGACTTCGGCAGTATGTATGGACTCGTAGGAAGCACGTAGCTAGGGAGACAAAGATAATACACGATAGCGCATGGCCAGCTGTGCCGAACTCCGAGCAAAGTGTCTTCATCTCGATGTAGCTCAACCAAGAGCAGCCTTCTGTATTGACAGCCCTTCCGAGTGCATTCCTCGCTGTAGTGATGACGCGATATCGGCCATCTTTCATACCAAATGGGCGTGTCCAACGTCGAAGACCTTTCGGGTAGGTCTTCCTGTTTGCCTTTCTTTCTGTCCAAGCTAGCCACTTCGTCGAATCGAAACCCAAAGAGGTGTAAATCTCTTACACTGTTTCGGCACCTGGCTGGAGGTTAGCTCAAAAACACAACAAGACGTAAAGCCAAATCCTTGACAACCACTGGAGACATACCTGTTGCAAAGCATTTCTCGTTCACTCGCGTCGTAACCGCTTTGAGCGCCGAAATGGCAGGTCCGGTGGCGCTGTGCGCTTCATGAATCGAGCCTCGGGTTCATGTTCCTTCTCGCTTACAACCTTCTCGTCCCTCTCGCTCTTGACTTCCACATCCCTGTCTGCCTCTACCTTCACGGCATCCTCCGCCTTGACCAACGTATCCGGGTGAGGTAGCGCTTCGATGATCGACGCGTTACCCGACTGCCATGTCTTGCGCATCTCCTGTTCCACCTTGAGGGTTCGTTCGCCAATCTCGGGAGGCTTTTCGAAGGTAGTCTCTTGTGAACGGTCTGCGGCCGTCTGCTTCTTCATCTCGAGTTGTTGCTTTCGTGCCACGGCAAGGTACTTGAGTCTCGCGAGGTACTCGGTTGGGTTGAGGCCAGCGCTGGCCTCAACTCCAGCCCAGAACGCTGTCGTCAGCGGTCCACTCAAATCCAAATGATCGAAGGCCACGGGTTGGCGAAGGCCCAGGACGTCGGCTTTGTAGGTCAATCGAAGGAGCCCATCGCGCGTCCATCGGGGTGACGCGCTGCGTATACGGATCGGTTGGCGCTCTTTCCGAGCATGGCGGGCCCGGTCTCCAACAGCGTCCTAGAAGCCAAAGACTGTATCGGGCGCCGCCAGCTGGGCCTCGCTTTCCGTGACCCATCGAATCTCTGTGCTCGAAAACGCAACTCGGAACTCGAACTCGTCCAAATCTGAAAGAGCAGGCTCCGCGGTCGTGCGGCGGCGGCGCCTGGCCTTCTTGCGGCGCCAAGTGAGGATTGTGCCGTATGGTGCGGTAGAGGACGAGGGCATCTCGAAGTCCGAGGAAGCCATCGTTCAGGTAGGTCGGTATGGCCGTCGCTGCAAATGGTCGGTTTCGAAGTGGCGCCTGGGCGAAGTCGCTGTTGGTCGATGGAGGACGAAAGGGAGGAAAGTTGAATGCCGCTGTGACAACAAACGTGCCGATTCTGCCGCTGTCAATTTTCACCGCTCGCGAATGGGCCCACCTTTCGGGTCCGAGCGCCTGATCCAATTGCCCGACTGCCGGCTGGTAAGCGAATCCTGGACTGCTGAAAAGAACAGACATGCGTAGGGGGACATCTCACTTGCTGTCGGTCAATGGCGAAGTTCTTGTAAGATAATGAATAAGAAGGGCTTCTGCTTTTAATCACGCCGTGGATTGATACTCGGCGAGGGCAACCGCAATCCAAGCCTCAAACCGACTGGGACTGGGACGAAGATCATTTTTGGCTGAACAGAGGGTCGACTTTGCACTTGGAAACGATATGTAAAATCCAAACGCGATGGAATTCCAGTAGCTCTCGTGGTGATACCTGAGAAGGACATTTAAGCCATTCCGAGATGAGATGTTTAAATATGACAGGCTCTGATTGCTGAAGGTAACATTCGGAGCTTTGAGGTCGCCATTGATGGTGTCCAACAATGGTACCGTTGATCCCAAACCCCAAGTGAAACATGAAGTCTATTTTCAAACGGAGAGCAAAGGAAAAGTCCAAAGTCAACAATGACAAGTGACTGTTTGCAAGCGACCTGAGTGTTCGACCATTGAACAAAGAGTAATTCACGGGTCTCAGCTCCATTCAATCAGGGGCCATGACCTTCTCCAATACCTGCCTGACCCAGACCTCTTATTTCTCATATACATCTACTTTCACAATCAAATTCATGTCGTTCAGTTCTTTGGAAGAACTGTTTTGGTCTGGATTACTTGGTTTCATAGATTTCGGCCACAACTTCTCCTTGGTCGCTGTGTTTTTTTCGCTTTCAATTCCGGTAAATAATTCTCCTGACGCAATACCCAAGTCCCTTCCCCCTCGTTCAGCTTCTTACTTGGTTGTTTTGGGGACTGGCAGCTGAGAGGGGCAGCTCTCAACACCTTGGCCCACAGGCAAATGTATTCACGGATCAACCAAAGTTTCCAAGGGTATGTGTAGTGTTTGAGAGGCTGCAGACCCACAGTAGATCGATGACATCGCATATCACACGCTCAGTTTCATACCCCCGGGCTCATCTCCGTGAACTGACCACGCATCGGCATTGTCTTGCGTCCACCGCAACAACTAGCTCGCGCGTGATACTCAAGGGTCTGAACTCAATTCTGATCTCGCCTGCTCGCCAATCATGCGTGGGCATGTGTCCAGAAACGAAAGCTGCATGATTCGCGCGTGATGGCGAAACTCAAACTCAACGACAGATGGAACCTTGAGTTCTGCATGGGAGCCGGTATTCACCGGACCGGAGCAGTGCTGGTCCCGCTAAACCTCAGCATGGACGAGGTCCGTCCCGACAGGTTTTCAACAGAGGCGTTGCTTCTTGGGTAGAGAGTCCGTGGCTGCTCGCCGTTGTAAATAGAGCAATGTCGCGGGTCCAAAAGGCCACTGGCCATAATGGGAGTGCTACCGACGATGCAGACCGTGGCAGTGTAGCCTCTTTATGATCCAACACCTTCCTTCCAGGTATTATTTCTGATACTGGCCACCTTCAGGCACCAACTGCGAAGAGCAATGAGAGCAATGTCTGCGAGAGAGCGGACGACTCTTCGACGTTTGCTATTGGAACGATATTATGTGCTGTTGTACCCTGGGGGTGATTGATGGCGCTGCAACAAACGGCCAGAGAAGGCACCCACTTGGAATGACAGGGCAACGAGCGAGCATATTATCCGTTCTCGTCTGGAGGTATCTGCAGGCGATATGCACTGAAGAGTATCTGCTAAGATCAAGGCCCTTCAGTTTCTCATTTCGACATACTGACGTGCTTTGGCCAGAATCACTTTCGTGGCTACGCCCCCTCATCACGTTCGATGGTACGCTCTGGGGAAGTTTGATCTCCTTCTGATCTCAGGCCGTACGCATTGAAATTCCGTGGGTCGGAAGAGATGATCAGAGAGTTTCTCAGCATTCTTCCTCCCAAACCAAGCTCCATTTGCCGTTGGAGCCTGAAAATGATTCTCCGATTTCCAGCCTCCGGCGTCGGTTTCGATCGTAATTGTTTTCGGGTGATGTCTCTGTGTTTTTGTCACATTGACCGTTTCTGCTAGAACACAAGCTTTTTCAGTGCGTCCTCTCGCTGTCCTTGAAATGTCCGTACCAAGCGTAGCCTTCCGCTTTCATACGTCGTGCCTATGCTTGTGAATAGCCACGGCGGATAAGGTGTCTCCAGACTCGTGTGGCTCGGTTTGGGCAGCCATGGCAATGAATACAGGTGCCGTGTTGTCCCTATGACGGCCTTGAATGACTTCCAGCGCTCCAGCAGTCTGGGAGATCGAAAACGTCGGGGTTCCGGGGAACGAGAGATAAATATGGAATCCTAATGATGTTAATTAAACAGTTTCCAAATACTCCATCCAAGGGATTAAATGCTGATGCATCACTATTGCCACATCATAGCCCTGGAGTAGTTCGACGAAGTCTCAATCCATTTCAGCCGTGGGGAGGAACCTTTGACGCTTTGCGATGGGCGAATGTTGAATCTCCGACCTGCAAGCCTGGTCCCATCGTCATGAATTTGGAAATTTCCATGCTTATCCTTCCAGGCCGTCGACAAGTGTGCCTCGCAAACTGGGAGGAACACCCCCAAAGATACAAGCCGGTTGCGTGCTGAGGCATTAGCTGCCAGAGAGCGAGATGAGAGGCCTCGACGGATGTGCGTGAAACCGGAGGATGATTCGTACGAAGTTCGTTTCAAATGTTCACTCGCTTGGCATGCCGAGATGTCGAATGGGGTCAGAAAAAGCAGGGCTCCTGTATTGGGACGGCGCGGCAAATTGTACTTGCGTGCGGTGTGCTCGTGGGCCGCACTTGACCATGGCAGCAGGGATCGGATCCAGATGGGCTCCACGGGTGGGTGGTCTCTCGTGTCGTCCCATAGCTGAGAAGAAAGAAGTGTCGATGTGGAAAATACACGGTTAGGCATATCTACGCATGCTAGGTATACTTGGAAACTCACCCGATACGATGGGGTCGAGAGATGGGTGTGATCGGAAACCTGCCAAGGGCGCAGTCGTTGTTGAACGAATTTTCGGAGCTTGACTGTCCTAGATCCAATGGTTGCCGATATTGTCGACCTGTCGAACAGATTGCGGCGAGAGAATTTTGAAGTGATGTACGTAGTAGCCGGGATGAATGTCAGCGACGATGTCGACAGCCAACGAGACAGCAAGGAAGCCGACGAACCGAAGGCGATATCAGTAGTGCTGATAAAAGACAAGATGGAGGCCCAGCGCTTTGTTCGGCCCAACAAAATAAAATAGACAGGACAAAGGCCAATCGAAGAGCACAACGCATACCTCGTCCTCCAACGTAACCGGCACCTTTCTCCTGCTGAAGTTGCTTGCCAAAGGTGGCGGTGTCTCGATTTCCGGCTCAACTTCGGGATAGGCGGTGGGTTGGTCGGTGGCACTTGCCTACCTTATACCTACCAGGAGGCTTGTGGAAGCATTTAACAAGGATACTCTCCAAATCACGAGCGATGGCTGATTACCCGACTCAGCCAACAGTGCATTGTAATTGTCCCTTGAGGCACATTCCTTCAACTTCCTTGTTTCTTGGACAAAATAACACGAAAAAGTGAAAATGAGGTTTTCTTTTAGTGGAAAAGAGAAGAGGAATGGAAAACGAAGTATAAAAAAAAAAAAGAATGGCCATGAGGGAGATCGAACGACGGTGGTTGTAACTGACCCAGGAAACTTCAACCGGGGGAAACGGCCACTCAACCACTCGACCAAGTGGCCGGTACTTGTTGGTTGGAAGCACTCTCAAACCGGCCCATACAGGCATTGGCTCTTCCACAGGTTCCGAGTTGGCGGGAGACAACACCCTGTCCTAAACAACAACTCTTTTCCGACATTAAATCATCACCATTTCTTAGCCAATTTACTTCTAAATCCCAATAGCAATCCGCCATGTACCATTTCTAGCGTCTTCTCCGCCAGAAACGTAGTGAGCCCTCCGATCCTAGTCTATTGCTAGATGCAAGAGCTGCGCAAAGCGTAAGCCACGCAATAGACCAAACGGCAGCTTAAGCTCCCTAACTTGCAATCCATAGCACCCTTTAATCATATCACAGGCATCCAGCTAGAGGTTTCTACTCACCTCCACTCCGATCCACCGCATCTTCAGTCGCTGTGCTGCAAATCTGGGATCAGCACACCGCCGAAGAGGAACATGAGTGCGTCGAATATTAAGAAACTTTTCTGAATATTGAATGTTAAATGTGTACTCGTTGGGTATGGAGAGATATCTATGACCAGATTATAAGGGTGGCTGCATTGTATTGCGCGGCGTATTGCATTTGATGAGTGCGTCGAAGACGATCCCGCAGCATCTCATTTTTGCATCTCCTTCGTCAAGACGATGCATTCTGATCTGGTTTTCACAGTGACTAGTAGTTACCCTTGGGATTACCAACGGCGGCACCGGCATCTCTCCACAAGAGCCTTCTCTGTGGACGCTGGTATGATATTGAAGTCTGTTTTGACGGTCCATGTTTTGGTTCTCATCAGATTCTGAGATCAACGCCAAAGGGTCAAAGTCACGGATGGAAATGAAGGCCACAGGTCAACTATCACTGTTCTTGAAAGCTGTTATGCATTGATTATCAAGTCGTTGGAAAAGAAGTTCGGACATGGATTTCTCGGCTCGACGCAGCAACCGTAGTTCCCGAGATTAGCATACCACCAGACCTCAACCTGTGGTTCACGCACCGCATCGAGATGAATCTCGGGTTAGACACTTGGATTTGGATCAAGATACTTCCAAGAGATCTCGCCACGCGTTCCATCATATAATGAG